TCCCCCAGCTCACCATGTGACAGTGGGCAGGACTGGGCCAATCTGCCAGCAAGCCTTGGAAGCTGGTGAGTAGCACATGTGTGCTACTCCTGACCAACACAGCAAGGGAACTAGAGGTGTGCAGATTTGACCTGGACCATTGCATTGGTGTTTTGTGGTCTTGAATGTGTGACCTGGGGAACTAGAGGTGTGCAATTACCTGTAGGAGATTGTCCTAGAGGGTTGTACCAATTGTGCTAGACTTTCCACATGCTGACTTCAAAGACATACTGCCACTCATTCCCCACCAAAAGGGAAAAGAGCCCTTCCAACAGTGTAGAGGGGACATGCAAGCGGGCCCTCCCCTGGGTGAGCATCTGCTGGGAGCCTAATCCTGGCAGACACTCTGATTTCAGCCTCCTACACTTAGCTGGTGAGTCCCACAGAACTTATTACAGTAAGACACGTTGCCATGAATCCCTCTCAGGCCCCTCCCCCTAACTTCAAATAAACTGGTCCCATCTGAAGCAGCTCTGGACCCCTCTCTCCTGAGTGTCTTTAGTTTGTGCTCTTGTGGTTGCCTTGATGTCCTGAATGGATTCAAAGCGTTGACTTTTCATGGTCAGTTTGTCTTTGGGGAAGAGCCAGACATTGCCTGGTGCCTGATACAGTGCAAAGGTGGATGAGATGCGCTGTTCTGTTTTTATGAGCCCACCTTTCTGTTGGACAGCACTCAGCAGCAGCATTCACTTATTTTTGATCACACTTCATAAAAGACACTTGGTAGCCAGGACTCCACTGGTTAGAAAGTGGCAAGAACCAGGAGATGAGTATGTTCAAAGTGATGGGGAGGATTCTCAGGGGGAATTAGTGGCAATGTGTCATTTACTACAAAAGCTTTTAAAATTTAAGCACTCACCATGTGTTTCTGTCACCCCTGGTATTTTCCACTTTGCCAGTGATGACTACTTAGCTGGTGTCTTACCGGGGTGCTTTCAAACCTAAAAGGCTTGTTCCATGTCCTTGTCCATGTCCAAACTAATACATGTGCACATCAGTACTGAGTGTTTTTATGGCAGTAGAGTCTTGGGTCATGGAGTGCTCTCACATTCAGCTTTAGACAGTCCTGCTATGTACTTGTCCAGAGTCCTGGTACCAACTTTCACCCTTGCTACACAGCTCTTCCTCCTGCACACCCTTCCCCATACATTCCATTTCCCCATCTTCATCCTGGAAGCCATTCCAGCAGCTTTTAGTCTAAGTCCTGCATTTCATCCTCATTCCTCTCATTCTTGTGGAATCTCCTGGAAGGAGTTAAGTGAAGAGGTTAAATCTCCATGTGTTAGTTGGTGCTCCTCACAGAAAAGGAATAAAAAGGTTTCATATCTGTCTGAAACAAAATACCTGATGCCTAAAATTAAGTAAGGAAAGATTTATTTTGCTCACAATTTGTGGAGGTTTCAGTCCATAGTTGGCTGGCTCCAAGGCAGGGTGGCACACAGCAGAGAGCAACAGTTCATGGCAGCAGAAAGCAGGAAAAGTAGCAAGACAAAAAAGTGGAGAGTGGCAGAGAACAAGCCTCTTTCCCTCCCTTATATTGAATGCAAGCTACTCGCCCCAGGGGGATGTAGCAGTCACACCCATAATCCCAGCACTGGACCATGGATCAATCAAAAACTCTAGAAGCCTGCCCCATTACTGTACCAGGCTTTGGCAGGACGTCTAGACACAAACCATAGTAAGACCCCAAAAAGCTGATGCTTCAGTTCACATTCAAGACCACAAAACACCAATGCAATGGTCCAGGTCAAATCTGTCAGAAAGAGAAGTCTCATATTTTATACAGAAGGATCAGCCTTTTTGCTCTACACAGGCCTTCAGCTGAGTGCATGGGGCCCATTCACATGCAGTGGGTGCCTATTTTACTGAGGCCACTGTTCAGTTATTAATCTCATCCAAAAAATGCCTCACAGACATATTCAGAGTAGCATTTGATCAACTCTCTGGGCACCCTAGGATCAAGTCAAATAAATACGTAAAATTAGCCATTGTAAGTTGAAAGTTTGTCACTTGGTCTGCAACCATTCCTTTAACTGTTATATTTTATTCCATTGTGTGCACATACTTTATATAAATAAAACAAATATATTTATTATTTTGTTTAATAATACCTTTCTGCTGGGCAGCACTCAGCAGCAGCATTCACTGTATTTTTGATCACACCTCATAAAGACACTCAGTAGACAGGACCCTACTGCTTTACAAAGTGGCAAGAACCATGAGTGTTTGTGAGTTTCAGCTGCACTGATCTTTTTGGCTAGGGATCCATTATCTTCAATGCTATATGGTATTTCATTGTGTGACTACATGGACATATAGTCACTCAGTTGGCAGGCATGAGGGTAACTTCTCCTTGGAGTGCTCCTTTGATTTTTTCACCATGAATGTTTAGGTTGCTGCACAGTGCTGCAAAGGCATCTTTTTACACACCTCCTTTTACATATGTATGCATTATTTCTCCTAGGAGGTCACAGGTCAAACACTGATCTACCTGAACCATCAGTAGAGCAAAAAGGATACAAGCAGAAAGTTCTTTTTTTTTTTTTTTTGGTTTTTCTCCGGTACCGGGAACCGAATTCACGACCTTGCGCTTGCCAGGCAGGCGCTTTTGCCGCTGAGCTAAATCCCCAGCCCCAAGCAGAAAGTTCTTCATTCACTGTCCATAATATCTGCCATTTCTCTTTCCATCCCACTGCATTAGGACTTTATTCTCAGTTACTTTCTCATCTCTGAGACACAACACCTGACACCCACAACGTGAAAGAAGAGAGGTTTATTTCATCTTACAGTGTGTAGAGGTTCAGCCCATAACTGGCTAGCTCCAAGGTAGGCTGGCAGAGGGCATCGCAGAGGAGAAGCAGCTCATGGCATTGCAGCAGGAATTAGAGAGGGACCAAGGGAGGAATGGAGACACACACTTCCACTGACCCAGCAAGATCTTCCCACCAGGCTTTACCTCCCAGCATCACACCTAGCTGTAAATCCATCAGTGGATGAATCCAGTATCACACACCCACCATCCAGTTACCTCCCAAGAGCCTCACCTATAAGCACATGAGATTTTCGGGGAGTGTGTAGATACAAACCATAACATCTAACGAGCTTCTGCCCTCTCCCAGATGTTTCTTAGTTTTATAAATTTCTTTGAAATAAAACTTACCCACAGAAATGTGCATACATGTGGATGATGTAGTACAATGTTATCCAAACTGAGCACTTGTAAGGGACCTACATAGAGTGAGAAACTTACCAGCATCCAGAGATAGAGGGATGCCTTAGAGGGTATAGAACTGCACCCATACCAGATACTGTCTGGTTGCTTTTCCAAGTCCCCATGTTGACTAACTTGCATCAGAAGTGAAGATGCCACTCTCCTGCATCTTGTCGACCCCTGGGGATAGACGTGCCCTAGTTTCCACTATGCTAAGAAGAAAAATTCTTACTGTTTTGAATGGCTTTTCCTTAATTGTTCCCATGGTCAAACATCTTCCCTTCCTTACATACCAGTATTTCCAAGTGGAATACTTTCCAGTGGGAGTTATTTTGCTTGGGTTTATTGCTTTGTTTTGACTCTTTCCTGAAAAGCTCAGCTCATCTACTTCTCAGGACAGTTCCCCCTTGTCAGCTGCCCCTTCATTATAGATTAATGCCTCTCCATCCATAACATGCTGTCCTTTCTTGGCACTGGGGGGATTGCACTAAGTTGTTCCCAGGGGACTTTGTGGGATCCAGGTCTTTTAGGATGGCCACTAATCCTGCTACCTCCCATACCAGCTGCTATAAACCATGTCCCACCCATCTGCCTACGGTGTTTACCATGTAAGTGACTGGCAGTTATGCTCAGTTGCCATACAAGCAGTTCATTCTGTTGCTTTACACCTGACCTGCTCCCTTGTTCTCACTCACTTCATGCCTGGATTGCATCTGGGACATGAAGCAAATCAGTCTATGTTCCAGTAAATCACCACTATCTAGGGATTTTGGAAGAGAGAGGTTATCAGCTCATTCCTATCACCTGCCATAGGATGTTGGGCAAGTCATTTCATCCTCCAGAGTACAAAGAAAATATAAAAGTACCATCCCTTCCTATTTCATGGAGTTGCTGTGAAAGTTAAAGGAAGGATGTTTCAATGTGCTTTGTGAGGTGTCTGTGAAACAGGAGCAATTGCTATCATCCTTGCCCACCCCTCAGTAGTGCAGAAAAGGAATGTTTTCCTTCCCTGGGCTCTGCTCCTGGGTGCTGGTCTGAGGCAAGCACTGAGGGGAACTTACTAAGAGGGGTGTGCTTTTCCTGCCAATCCCAGTCATGTCACAAGGGACCCTGGCTATGGAAAACACAGACCCTACCCGGAGCCAGCCGCTTTTCTGAGAACTGCCTGTGAAAACCTGGCTAGCAACACAGGTGTGAAACACAAATGTGCTATTTACCTATGCCTCCTACAATAATACACATGCCACTAAGTAAGTGGCAGTGTGCGGACTGCAAGTCAGAAAGCAACCTCAGGGAAACAAATATATAATTACAATTGCCTCCAGAACTGCTAACAGGGCTTGAATGAATGAAAGTGCTGCGAAGTCCAGATTCCTGGATTGTGAAGCTACAGCTGAGGTGCAGGTCCACTAGGTAAGTTAGGAACTACACTGCTGGGAGTGGAGGATGGCCCCGGGAGCCCCAGAGCCAGCTGTGGGGAGCCCCCACCTGCTTTCAGGATGTGAGTAGCCCTGGGAGGGACCACGGGTTATGGGGCTGTGCTGGCTCCAGGATCAACTGTAACTGCGACGAGCCAGCTGCACGTGGGCTCTCCCTGTTGTCAGGCAGAGCTCTTCAGAGAGGTGGGCTCAGGGCGGGCTCTGAGACTCTGCTCAGCCGAGCTCAGCCAGAAGCCTGGAGTGCTGAGGAGCTGTAGCTCATGCCCAGCTCCGCAGCTGCCCGGCCACAGGTACAGGGACCCACCTGAGCCATGCCATCCCACCTCACTCAGGGCAGCTCCTCCAGTGTCTCCCAGACTGCACCATCACTGGATACTTCCTCGCTGGATGCTTCCCCAGGAGCTTGCACAGATATAATGACTTTCACCGAGGTGGTGGAGGGGGAGTCCTGGGGCTCCTTCTACTCGTCCTATAAGGTAAGCATCATGCCTACAACTGACAGGGCAGTCATACTGTGAGTGAGTATCATTTCTTCTCTTTCCTACAAAAGATGGTAGGGAACCAACCTGATGAGCTTCAGCAACAAGATTTTTGTGGTGGCCGAAGACCTGTCTTGCAGTTTCTGTGTATACATATGTGGTTTCTCTTATGCTACTGATAACTTGTAAATAGTAATATTTATGAATGGTGGGTTTTTTAATTTTCTAGTTTTCATTTGATAAAGGCAATTTTAGTTAATACTATAGTGGTGCTCAAAATGTCTGTTTCTGGTAAAAATGTAAATTTATTAAAAATGCCCTGTCTAGTAAATGTCTGCTCACAGTCAGAGCAGAGGTGTGGAAAGTGCACCCCTAGGGAAGCAGTGATACCCTGGGGATGGTGCTTGCATGTAGCGAGGATCCCCTGTGTGTGTGGATCCTTCTCAGTGAAATCCAAGAAAAATAGATTTTCTGACTATAGTCATTGGTGCCACACTTTGCAACAAGTTGCTGCCTAGGACAAACCTAAGAGTTGGAGTCAGATGAATTCCTCCTACAGTGCCCAGGGACACGTGGAGGAAAACCCCTGTGTAAGCTAATGCTGTTCCCCCTTTTCCAAAAAAGATCTTGTAGACAGGAATAAGTCAGGTATCTAGAAATGCCAGGGTCCTGCTCCTTGCTTGAGAATGCTGGGCTGCAATGTTCCAGGAAGTCACAAGTCTGTCTCAACCTGTCCCTTTAGATCAAAAAGGAAAATATATCCAGAAAAAAAAAAATCTAGCTGTTGCTTTGTTGTTATTTTTAACCCTCTGAGTATCCTTGAAAGGATTTGCTTTGTACACAAGGAGGCAGAGTTACCGCGACTCAGATCTTTCCACCCCCAGAGGTCGACTTGTTGGCGAAGGCTCAGAATGAAACTTTCAGCAGGGAGCTGTCTGGGAATCAACGCTCCCAGGCACGCACAGGCAGAACCCCAGTGGAAAAGCAGAGCCTGAAGTCACTTAGGCCGGCTGCAGGGGACCGTGGACCTGAGAGACCTCTCCCAGTGCTTGCACACAAACAACTCTGCTGCTCCACTCCGTGACACAGCATAGAGAGTGAGATTGGGTTGGCGCCTCTTACAGTGGCCTGCACAGTCCCCCTCTGCAGTCAGCCACACACTCTGACAGGCATCCTGCCCCCACCCCCTCTAGCCTTGATGTTTACAGAACATGACTGGAAACTGATAATCACAATAAGAGTGTCGCTCCCAGACTCTGGCAAAGACCTCAGCTAGAAGTGCATTTGCAGTTCTTTTTAATGCAGTGCTGGAGGAAATTCTGTGTTCAAGAACAAAATAACACCTACTGGTTCCCCACTAGGGCTGCGCTCTACCCGGGCAACATCACCGCAGCACTGAAGAGAACTGCATCCTTGTCTGTAGGTGAGGCAGAACAGGGAGCCCACTGGACAGAGAGGGACACAGAGAGGAAGCACGCCTCATCAGGAGCTGTGGGTGTTCTGCCCCACTTCCTGAAAGATTCATTCAGTGACTCAAACCATCACAGAAGTCAGTGCTGGTGTTTGTGGGGACCTTGCTTAATGAGGGGAGGGTGCAGTGCTGGGGATTTAACACAGGCCCTTCACATTGAGCTATGTCCCCAATCCTTTTTGTCATTTTGATTTTTGATTTTGAGACAGAGACTCACTAACACTGAGTTGCTCAGGCTGGACTTGAATTTTCAGTCCTCCTGCCTCAGCTTCCCAGGCTACCTCGCTTAAATTTCTTAGTGGAACTTTGTTCTGTGGTCTCCTTGGAGCACCAGTGATTTTGAAACGGTCCTTACAGAAGCAGGTCTGAGGCACATCCTTGGTTGCTGTGATCTCTTTTCTCCAGTACCCTCTGTAAAACAATGTCAAACTGGGCACTGTCTGCAGTCTCCCAAATATGTTCCTTTAATTCCTGCTGCTTTCCTGGAAAACCAGTACAAATAGCATACAATTGAAATGGCAGCAGCAGTTACAATAACAGAAATAAGAGCAGCGGTAGTAGCCATGCATCCCGTTAGCTGGGGACTATCTTGGTATCCACAGCTTTGCCGTGTGATCTCTGCGACATGTCTTATTTAATTCTCTTGGGCCTCAGTGCATCTTTCCATGGGAACTGACTTCCACCCTCATCTGCATTTACCTAGATTCTACCCATTCTTTAAGGCCCAGTGTGGCTTACGTCCTCCACACAGCCCTCCATGACGCTTCCTTCCTCTTAGCTTCTGTGGTGTCATGGGCTCTAATTCTTTCCCATGTCCCAACTCTGTCCCAGATGGCTGCTTCAACATGTGGTGGTGGTGGTGGAAGGTGCCTTGTAGTCCTTGCATTCCTTGTGTGAAATGTACAGGTTTTCTGTTCTCTCCAGATGCAGCGCTATGCTAGGCACACTCAGTTAACAGTCCCAGCGTAAACAAAGCCTGGTGCTCTTTCTTGGCATCTGCACACATGTGACAACAAGACACCACATAGTCTGCTTCCTTCATGAAGGAAGCAGGGTCGGAGGGCTTTCATTGCCCTACCTGGTCTCTACCAGCTGCACTCTTGGATCCTCTCCACAAGTGTGCTCCGCTTGCCCCACCCATTTCAAAGCCAGTGGCACTGGGGTAAGTGACAGATCTCAGCGGGTAGAGTATGGAATTTGCTGTGGCCCTGCAGGCTGGTCCAGGGCATGGTACAGCCAAAAGTACAGAAGGCTACTGAACAAAGACAAAGATGGAACTCTACGTAGAATCCTTTGTGCTGCTAGTGAATTTGCTAACAGTCTTAACAATGAGAAACCTAATTAAAAGTAGCTGGGAGGGAGAGCTGTCTGAGTTACTAAGTTGCCTAAATGATAAAACAGTGCAAATGGAAGATGGATCTCTTCCTCCTAGGCGGGGAGAGAAACATGGGCCAAGACTGGTAAACATTAATGAGCACAGTCTTTGACCAGCCCTCCTTCAGGTGGTGACAAACATGCACAATTAGCCTAACTGTTGTTTACATAGAGAATGGACAAGTTTCCCTTTGTGGTCCACCCCCTCTGCCACACTGTCCTCCTGTCTGTTTTCCAAACACACCCTTCCTGTGTTAATAGAACAAAAGCTAATCTCAGCTCACCCATTCCCCAATTAGTTCACACTCTGCTTGAACAGAAGCTCGGTTTAAGATGTTTTAGTAATTGTGTTTATTTCCACTCCATAGCGGTGGTGGCCTTGTTGTGTCCACCAGGTACCAGCCAGTTGCCTTCTGTGGCTGCCCTTTCCCTCTGTTTGCCATTTGCCCCCTTCTCTGAGCTACCTCTTTGCCCATCACCCCCCTCCAAGGTTGGCTGTTCTCCTTCCTCCCTTGTTCCCCTGGATAATGTCAGTGGTGACCTTCTTGCAATCCAGGAGCCTCAGTTCCTGACCTTCTAATGCAGTTCCTGCAGTTTCTGTAATGAGAGGTTTTGCATTTACATCAGGCACTTCTTATCCTTTTCTAATTGCTTTCACCCCTTAAGTTCATTTGGTCTCTATAGTTGACTGCTGCAGTTCTGAAGCAAATTCCTACTGGTTTGCTTGGTCTCATTCCTTCCTGGTCGTTTCTGCAGTACAGACCTCACCCTCCAATTCCCCAGCTACCTCCCAGGTTAGTTAAGCTGTGCCATGCTGTGGGTCCAACTTCAAGTAATGCCACTCAGAAAGGCACAAATGCTACTGATTGGCTCCCCAAGGGTGGCGTGCAATTTCCAAGCTATTTGTGTTAGTGAGTGACAAAGGAAAGTTTCCTCAAGTAAATTTCTCTTTGTACCTCAAATACACAAGATGGCCAGAAACATAATCTTGATTAATTTGGAGTAAACCTAGTTATCACAGAGTTTTTTGGGCTCAGAAGGGTTTTCACATCCTCTGGTTTAAGGATGGCATCTTGCTGGGGGAAGGGTGGAGGGGTGGAGGGGCTTCTATAGTAGATGCATGTCCGGGAGGTGGGAGCAGCAGGCAGGAGGGATTCTGTCCAGCAAGGGATCTGGCCAGTTGGAAGCAGCTGAAACAAGTCTTGTCTGGTCCTCAGAGATGGTCATTCTTGTTTTAGGCTCTTCTCTGGAATCCCATCTGGCCCAGATCAGTCCCACGCTATTCTTTATGGTCTTTTGTCATAATTCCTTCAAGTACAGGATGTGCTTTCTTCCTCTCTCAATCCTGGCTAAATTTCCTCAGCCTTTCTGGGAAGAGGGTTTGACAGTTTCCCAACCACCTCTGGGCTACAGAAAGCAAAGCAGTGTTATCTCTTGTCCTCCCGCTCCCCACCTGACCTTCTTAATTGTACAACTCCTACTTCATGAAAGCTGGGAAAACCCATGACTTTTCTATTCCATGGTCCCTACCCAGAAAGCTAACCTTACCATCTTAATCCTGTGCACCACAAATTTAACAGGTGTTCTTCCTTCCTCTCCCTTTTTGGAGGGCGAGAAGCAATCCAGAACCTTCTCATCAGTGTCCAAGTTTCCCACATCCCCCCTGACAGCTTTCACCATGACTGTACCATTCAGCTCTCCCATCTCCCTCCACTATCTTTCCCTGGTACGGGAAATTCCTATACCATGCTCCTCCAAACTTACTTTTCCAGCCTCTCTCTTCTGAATGTTCAAAAGACACATCATCTTGCAATGGGAAAAGCTACTTCCCTTCCAGCCACTTATGATAGTCTCCGAGGTGTATTTGGGAGCCCAGAGCCAGCTTATTTGTCTCCATCTGCACTGATGGACTAAAGATTGCGCCCTGGGGGCAAGGGTGCAGAGCCCCGGGTTGCTTGGGTAGGGGAGGTTTTATGAAAGCAGTGAGAAGTACCTCATCCATTTTTGCCTCAAATATCACGCTGTCACCTTTAGATAATTTCCTGTGTACAGTGGGTAAGAGTGTTTCAAGCTATGCACTTAAGCAGATAAGAAATGTCACAGTGTTGTTCTTTGGCTAAACTTAGCTTTTATCTGAGCCTCTCAGCCTCTC